ACCCGACATACATAAATGTCAGCTATATTTTTTTGCATATGACGGATTGATTAAACTGTCAAGAAAGAGAAAAATCATTGATCAACTGACAGGAAAACGATTTTCCTTAGTATACAAAAGGTTTTATGAACTTATTTCCTTCCTTCCTTACTTACTTACTAACTTATGCCTGTTGCCCCCGATGGCGCATAGACTACCGATCAATATTCTTCAACCTACTCTGTTCTGGGCCTTCTTATATTGTTTGAACATTCCATGTACTTAAAAAGCATGGTTGATCTGGTTGTCAGAAGGGGCATCGGCCCTGTGAATTTCAAAGGACTTCGGCTTTCATTAGTAGACGTCATAACTCTTCTGAATAAAAGCCTTCTTCTAACTTTCAGGACAGAGTTTAAATGGTTTGAATTACTTTTTTTCTGGTTGGCGTTTTTTTTTACGAGTTAGTTTTCTACATACAGGATGGGGTCTCCTACCTCATGCCGAACCCTTCTCCTTTATCCGGGCTTGGGAGTGGAAGTAGCCCAAGAGCGGGCGCCACGTGGAGACGAAACTAGTCAAGAATCTTAGAATAATAGAGGAAGCAACAGTACCAGTGGTAGTCGGAAAGATTAGAGATCGATGATTGGATTGAAAAGAATATACATCAGTGAAATAAGTATATCAAACATTTAAGACAAATTCAGAAGATTAGAATTTGTGGGGAAAATAAAGAATAGACTCCCCTGTGCTATTGCAAAGGATTTTGAACCATGTCATTGAACATCCCTTACCGCTAGTGATGTTTATCATGTGGACTGAAACTAGCTAAGTTCAAAACTCATTCACACTATTCAATCCAATAATTGTCAATGACTAGATGAATTGATGCCATGTTTTGTCTTGGCCATCCCTCATCTTTTTTCTCTCAGCCTTCTCCTCTATACACATCACACAACATCGCTTAGTCGAGAGGTAGTCGGTGGTTGATTGTGCATACGTAACGCATTTTTCAGCCACCTTAACTAATGAAGAATCACTACTTCATTAATTAATTTGTCATTCTTATCTAGTACTTTTATTACTCACTCACACTCGATAGCCATCTTTAAACAGTAATTCCTAAGCCTATCACTTATAGCTCAAATTTTTCAACGTTATACTATACTGAATTCATTGTGCAGACAATTCGATCCACTCATCATACTTACTGTGTTGCATAATTGTCTGACAGTTCACTAGTGAGTTACAGTTATTTGACAATAATGTGTGATAGATTTTATTTACGCCATAGTTAGTTCGCTATTGTATATCACGTATTGTAAATACAGAACCAATCCAATACGACTTATCTTTTTCTTGCTAAGATGACACAACAAAGATGACACTGGTTTTCTTCTTGTAACTAAATGTTAAACAGCAACTCCTGGTCTAATTCGCGTTTCCTCTAGGACTTTTAATGTTGTCTGGTGTTTTTCTATTGAGTGATATACTGAAGCTTCATTCTGGATGGTTTTGACTGTGAAGCTTACTTTGTTCTTCTGACCAACATCTTATCGCACAAACTTCAGGTAGAAGTGATCAAACTATCTATACAGTTCAAAGAACAAAACTCCACCATGGTGGAGAAAATTTCTAGCTCAGCTAGATTATTGTGATTAGGTTTCGTTCTGTGAGCTGGAGATGTTTTTTTAATTGTGTGGAGCTTTCTTAATTGTTCTCCTGCTGAACAACATCACCATCAGCAGCATAAACTTCAGATAGCAGTGAAGTGAACTATTCGAATTTCTCTACAGCCGAGTAAGCAATGCTGTCGTTAGGAAACGACTACTAGGTAAGGATGGCAGATCAATAGATGAAGTGGTGAAACTTCATCAGTTGAGATGGTTGGGACATGTGTTGCGTAGGCCTAACCACCGATTGCCTCGGCAAGCGATGTTTTGTGCTGTAGGAGTAGGTTGGAAGAAAGTTAGGCGCGGCCAGACCAAAACATGGCAGAAATCCATGAAGTCACTGACTAGTGGACTGAGTCATGTTGGTAGATGTAGACTACCTGGTTGGGGTCCGCGAGACGAAAGTCACCAATGGTTAGAGACCTTGAATGACATGGCTCAACATCGTTTGCAATGGCTCAAGTGCATCCATTCGTTATGCTCTCTCAAATCCTAATCTTCTGGATTCGTCAGCACCTTTACCTTTGTCTTTCTAGCCTTATCTCACTGAATTATATTTCTTGAATAATATCTTCGAACCCTAGTCTTCTTTATTAACATTAATACCTCTACTATCTTTATCACTATGGGATTTGATTTGACATTTGCGTCTGTGTGCTAATGTGGTATGGCAACATGAACTGATGTACTCACATACGTACGAAGTTCTACGTTGGAACTGACTGACTGACTGACATTTGTCCCGTTGTAGATTGTTCTGTTCTTGATCTCAAAGATCAAGAAACAAATCAAAAGGTGGGCGTTGTGCAATCAAAACAAAGATGTAAACAACAACATGTTGAGCCTAAATAATCGGAACCTTTTGTTGTGTGTGTGTATGTGTGTGTCAGTGGCCATGCGATCGAACCGCCAGTAATGTCCACGCACAAACAGATCATTTTGAATTTCAAATGATCATCTCTTTAATGAAACAAAACAAAACACCTTTTACATACAATTCAAAAAATCCAAAAAAAAACATTTTACTACAACAAATTGTTTTTCTCTTTTTTCATACTGTGAAGTGCTTTTTTTCTTTTATTTGTGGTTGTTATTATTAGTTTTTATTTTAATTTTCTGAATGAAATTCACTTCATTTCCAAATGACCTTGACCGAGAAGTTATAAATAAACTAGAATATGGAAATGCTTTTCTCTCTCTCTGTGTTGCGTATTATGATTACGATTATTATTATTATTGATATATTATGACTGTTGTTTCTGAATTGAGGTTATTTATTTATTTTTTGATTCAACTAACTTCATCATCAAAGTATCTCTCCAATGCATGTGAAACACAACCACACAACCAAACACATAGGCACACACATACACATTTTAATTAATTGTACGCGTACATGCACCACAATTTGGCATTCTTCGTCGAGGTATCATCATCTTCTTGTACATTATTATTAGTATTAGTAAGTAGTATGTAGTAAGTAGTATGTAGGTTTTATTATTTTGTTTGTATGTGTGTGTTTCCGACCTTCACATGTTCCTAATAAAAGAATTTTGAATCAAGTTGATTACAGGATTATTGTTATTGTGTGTGATTTGCAACTTATTTTTTCAACCAAGTCAATCAATAACGGTCGGGTTATTGGACAGTTTTATTATTTTTATTTTATTCAAGTTCTTGTTAACTCCTATTATTATTATTATTATTATTATTATTATTATTATTATTATTATTATTATTGTTTTCATGTACTGATCATTGTGTGTATGTGTGCGTGTGTGTGTGTGTGCACGTATTGTTCATTGCGTACATTGGCTTTTTTATAGTCCATTGTTATAGAGTAAACAACTATAACAATAACAACAAGGTTTGTGTTATACAGTCAGTCAAATAGTTTTTGGAATTGAATTTTACTCGATATTATTTTGATATATATATATATATATATATATATATATACGTTGTCAATTGTCAATGATTTGATGCAATTTACTGGAATTGTCAATAAGTGACCAAGGTACACACTAGGAAACGTTCGATTACTGTTCCATCCTAGCATTGATTGTTGTTACGGGTATGAGAGAGCGGATGTTGTTACTTCCGGGTTGGTCATACCGGGTGTGTTCTTGAAGAACCTTGAAAATCCAAGTAGATTTGCATTGGTCTTAGAGACCTGAGGGCGTGTTGCCTTACCCACTGGAGACGGAAATCCGTGAAGTAAGATGAAGTGTAAAATTTTTAAGATCGACATTTTCTAATCACTCTCTTCCTTGTGAAAAGGCTGAATCGCTGCAGATCCTGGTTGTCTGAGGGAAACACCTTACTGCTGTTACAACTCTACTACAGTCAGCAGTCTGACTTCGTCCTCAGACCTTGAGTAGCTAGCTGCTTTTAGTCTTACTTTTCTCCAATCGACCACCTGCCTGGCGTGTAGAAAGTAAAGGACCATATATTCCAGTCAAAATAGTTGTGTTGGGTCATCATGATAGGCAAGCTCGACCAGCAGCACGTCAAGGTAGCGGCTACGGTCGGGCATCCTTATATAGAGAACTCTTCAGTATAGAAAATCATGATTTCACTGTGGGGATTGGATCTAGCGTTTCTGTCTTGAGACAAAATACTCAACCTTCAAACCATTGAGATAGCATTAAATGATATATCTGTATCAATATTATTGATCGTTAACTATCTTTATTGTAATCTTCAATCAATCATTGTTAGACCACCGTTAGAAACCTGGAAGCACTGAAAGACGGTCCTATCGTCCTGGCATGGGATTGCTCGTCAACGGCAGTGCTCATCCACGACTCCTGTTACTCGCTGGATTCGAATCCAGGACATGAACACTGTTGGATGCCGGCGCAGTGGTCTAGAGGTTAGGCGTTCGTGCACAAAACCGAAGGTCCTGAGTTCGAATCCTGTTAGTAGCAGTCAGAGTAGTCGATTCGCACTGCCACTAACGAGTTAACCTACACCAGGACGGAACGGCCGTCTTCCGCAGTGCTTCAAGGTTTCTGATGGTGGTCTAACAATGATTGATTGATGATTTCGCGGTTTAAAAACACTGATCTCCATAGCTCTAATTGTGATATATATATATATAGGAAGTCCACCTGTTATGGATTGTCATTTGAAACTTTTGAAGCAAGTCATTAGCAAACACATCTTATTTTATTTTTACTGCACATTATTTCTATAATTCCAGTCACCAGTGATGCCACAATTCATGATATAAATATGCATATACATTGAATGTATTGATTTTGTTTCTAAATCAATAAAGTTTTCTTTCTTCCTACTTCCCTCTGCCCCTAACCCCCCTCTCTCTATTTATTGTATTCATCATTTCAGGAAGTCGTATTGGTCGACAACCGAATGCAATTAAATATTATTGTGCTCGAGAAATTTCTCAGCTAACAAATTCCAATGATTGTGAAGCGGCACCGACAACAACAACAACACCAACTCCTACTACTTCTACTACTTCCATGAATCCATGTACAAGTAGTTCCTTGAAAATGCATGAATCGAATCGACGTAATTCGATGAGTCATAGTAGTAGTAGTAGTACTACTACTACTACTAGCAATGGTACTACTACTAATAATAATCCTAGTACTACTGTTACTACTACTTCTACGACTACCGCGATCGGTAAACATGATGCTAATAATTACAACAACAACAACGGTAATAGTAGTAGTAGTAATAACAGTAATCATAGTAGTAGTACTATTAGTAGTAGTAATAATAATAGTAATCACAATAAAACAACTCCTATGCATCAACATGATTTATTGTCTATTGCTGAAGAACATTGTAAATCAATACTAGGCGTGAACTCAACCAATTATTATGCCTCATCAAATTGGCCTTCATTCAAACGTATGATGATGATGTCCACTTTAGATCATGTGACTTCCAATGCTAACACCACAACTGTCAGCATTACCAGTAGCAATGGTATTCCGATGATGACGACAACAACAACTGCAGAAGCAACACAAACAGGAACATCAACTGAAGTATCTTTAATCTCATCAAGTATTCCTTCAACATCAACCTCCTCCTCCTCCTCCTCCACCACTCTTGTGAATCCATTGATGGAACGTCTACACCATCATCAGACAAATTATAATGAATTACAGTTGAATGAAGATTTAGCAAAAAATGAATCGTTACTATCCCTATCACCATCTTCATCAACATCACCTCCATTGTTAGGAATAAAAAATCATATTAAATATAATAAAATGGATGCACGTTCACAGCATGTTCATTCACAATCACGTGCTTTTCATCCTCATGCGCCTCATCATCAACCTGTACAATCATCATCTATTTCTCAAAATAATAATGATGTTATCCTGTTGTCTAATTGTAATGACTCTCATTTACCTTCATCTACTTCGAATAATAATGATTATCTATTTATGAATTCATCATCAAGACATATTACTAAACGACGTAAAACATTATCATCTTGTGTAGATGTTCATGTAGACAAATACACTGATAACAACAGCAACAACAACAATAGTACTGATCACAATCATATTACAACATCATCGTCATCAAAATTATTACATAATCATCATTCAGTTTATATTCATAATAATAATAATAATCATGGTTGTCATCATGATCATGATCATGATGATCGTGATCACAATGACCACCACGCTGATGTTATTAATGATGATGATGATGATAATCATCATCATAATGATGATGTCGACAGTCGATCAACAAATGGACCGCCACCACCACCACCTCATCATCATCATCGTCATCATCATCCACGTTACAATCATCGACATCAACAGTCATATCATCATTCTATTAGTGGAAATCATCACTTACACCAATCACAATCCCATTGTCATAATAATAATAATACAGAGTTGACCAGTACAAATGATGAGAATATTTACAATATGATTGATTCTGTCAATGATGATTTAGACATTAGTGATAATCATAATCATAATAATAATAGTAATGTAATCAGTAGTAGTATTAGTAGTAGTAGTCGTCGGTATGAGAAATCTATCGATGAAGAAAAACTCCATCACATATCAATTGATAATTTCTCATTGAATCATAATAATAATAATCAATCAAGGCATTTATTATTAAATCAATTGAATTTGTCAAACAATCATCATCATCATCATCATGAACGAAATAACAGTAATAATAATCATAATGGTGATCATCATTCTTCCAATGTTCTACTACAACAACCATTACAATTTAGAAAGTAAGTTGTATTCTTGTTGAATATTTTTCTGTATGACATGTTAAAAGAACTGATAGATGCTCGGAAGTGTATTTTGTCTGGCTCTGTGGTGGTGATGAGATGAAGAGTGAAGTCAGCTTAAGCATAGGTTGATAAAAAAGCCTACACACAATGATCGCGAATCAGTCAGTCAGTCAGTCAGTTGCAACGTAGAACTTCGTACGTATGTGAGTACATCAGTTCATGTTGCCATACCACTACATTAGCACACAGACGCAAATGTCGAATCAAATCCCATAGTGATAAAGATAGTAGAGGTATTAATGTTAATAAAGAAGACTAGGGTTCGAAGATATTATTCAAGAAATATAATTCAGTGAGATAAGGCTAGAAAGACAAAGGTAGAGGTGCTGACGAATCCAGAAGATTAGGATTTGAGAGAGCACAATGAATGGATGCACTTGAGCCATTGCAAACGATTTTGAGCCATGTCGTTCAAGGTCTCTAACTATTGGTGACTTTCGTCTCGCGGACCCCAACCAGGTAGTCTACATCTACTAACATGATTCAGTCCACTAGTCATTGACTTCATGGATTTGTGCCATGTTTTGGTCTGGACGCCCCTAACTTTCTTCCAACCTACTCCTACACCACAAAACATAGCTCGTCGAGGCAGTCGGTGGTTAGCCATACGTAACACATGACCCAACCACCTCAACTGATGAAGTGTCACTACTGCGTCTATTGATCTGCCATCGTTACCTAGTACTTGTTTCCTAACGACAGCATTGCTCACTCGGCTGTCCCACGATATACGAGCAATGCTTCTTAAACATCTATGATCGCGAATAATGGTGGGTAGCGAAAGCACGGGAGATGGAAAAGGCAGCGGTGATAGGTAACAGTAGACAGCTATTCCGATTTATCAAGGAATCCGAATGTGAGTTAGGCTTTCTCGGAAGAGGACGACCTTATTATTCATTCTCAATCCAGGAGATTGGATCGATGGGCAGAATATTTCAGAGACCGATTCAACTGGCCTTCAGCCCACACTTCCGTTGCTCACGATCTCCAGTCATGCTGAATAGCAAATCAACGTAAGTCGTTCAACTCTATGAATTTGAGAAAGCTATAAGAAATCTGAACCGAGGGCTGATAGATTGAGCCTTGAGATGGTGGTCCAGTTTTAACAGTCAGATTGACTGAGATCCTTGGTGGAATCTGAGAACTGTGCATAATCTCATCTGACTGGTCTTAATCACTGTGCAACAGTTCGATCCGTCCTACTATACGGGTTTGAAACTTGACCAGTAAGAATAGAAGATATTCATAGGTTAATAGTATTCAATCCTAGGTATCTTCGTAGCTTTGTTTTTTTATCCTGGGACCATCGAGTGAGCAATGGGAAATCAATTAATGAAGTAGTGAATCTTGATCAGTTATGGGGTGGTTAGGAATTGTGTTACGTACGCCTAACCAACAAGTACCTCGATGAGTGGTGTTATCTGATGTAAAGGGTGGGTTGGAAGGCCAAACCAAAACATATAACACAAATCCACGAAATCACTGAGAACTATACTGAGCCATGTAAGTAGGTGTAGACTACCACCTGGTTTGGATGGTCGATGCAAAAATAACCAGCGGTTAGAGACTTTGAATGACATGGCTCAAAATGGTTTACAATATCACAGATCTATCCATTCTTCGTTTTCCGTCAACTTCTAAATCGTCCAAGTTCCTGACGAGATTTTTTCGTTTTTTAAATTGATTCCACTGGGGCATATACTTCTCAAATCATATCTTCGATTCCAAATCATTTCGATTAGCGTGAATACTGCTACAACCTCTGCTATTTATAGGATTTAAACTGACAATGCTCTCCGTGTGTGCCAATATGGTCTGGCAACTTGGACTGATGTATGGATGTATGTACGTATGAAGTTCTGCGTTGTTGTTCACTAATCGATTGAGACACTATTCTTGTGTGGAGTGTGAATTTTTTTTTTCCGTGTAAAATTCTATAATTATCATTGTACTTCTATTTATATAAGTCGATGGAATGCTTGAACTCTTATCTTCTATTTCTTTCTATCTTAGATAAATAATGATCGAAATTAAATACTATTAAGTTTCAGAGAGATACTTACTATGTGTGTAGTGAAGTCAGATTAGATTAATTTCTTGTCAGTCATGTGATTTGTGTTTGGCAGTCATGATGATGAAGATGATGATCAGTCTTTATTATCGCCGATAAGGTTATTTGTGTGTGTGTGTGCATGCAATCGGTGCACTTTATTGCAGTTGAAGGTCATTTCTTTTGTGATATTCATGTGATGATGATGATGATGTGATATAACTAACTATTGGCTTGAGACTCGTATTAATAATGGATGATACTGATATGATCGTCAATTGATATGCTTGAATGCTATTACTGTGGTGCGAGCTACTTATAAGTAGTATATGACGTGAGTGTCAACGTAATGTCTGGCATTGGAAGATGAGGGAAGATCAAGAAAGGAAGAGTTAGAACTCAAAATGGAATTTGTATGAAACGCATGAATAGTGACAATGGATTGATGTTTTGCAACAGGAACAGTCCAGTTCGATATGATGGACTGATATTTTGCAAATGAACGATTTACGATATGGTTTTCCGATTTTACTGAGTAACTCTTTAATTTTCGTTAAATACAATCCGGTTGCCCCACCTGTGTTCTCCTTCACTACATTACAAGTTCACCTTACTCGATAAACGAGAACAATGACAAATGATGCAGTGACACGATAGACTATTCTAATCCGTTGTCCGAGGCTCCGCTGAATATATCTAGAAGACTTGGTAAGGCGTAGAAAATGTTTCGTACAAGCAACCAAAAAGTACAAGGTTCGACAAGCACACAAATTATTAGGCTTATTTATACAATGAGAGAGCCACAAACTAACGTACTAAAATAATCCATCAACCAATGGCGCTCAAGGACTCTCCGAGTGGGAAATGTAAACTGAAGGTCAACTAAGCGTGTTAAGTGCGCGAAAACACAAAACATTCAAAATTTCAGAAATAAATTACAAAATTAGGATATTTTCTAAGTGAGCTCTGGAGATCTAACGTCTACAACAGATACCTGTCTTCTCATTTTGCAATTCTTACAGTTTGTTGAGTAGTTAAACCATATGACACTTTCAACCACAATCGAGGTGAGATAGGTTCACAACTACTCCTACTACCTTTCTCTTGGTTTAGGCTAACGAGGGAATAATCATACTAATTGTGTAAGCTTCACTTATTGTAAATACCATGTACCATACTAACAACTCCTTACGGAGCATATATACTTCCGACTAGAATTCTCCAATGAACTCTGTTTTCCAGTTGTTCTCAGCCATGATTCATTTTCTTTTGATGTTTGCCTCCATTTCCCGACGTAATGTGTGATTTTAGTCTGTTTCTTTCTTTTCGGTTTTGAGGATTTCTATGTAGAATCTGCTTTGCAACACATTTCTCCGTTTGTCGGAAACCAATCTGTTCTCTGTCATAATAGATTATTGCTGATAGTTTATGGCCAACGGATCCACAATATCTCTTGCCTAGACAAATATTTGTATTTTATAGATGATGGCTTTCGTAGTTCTCTGAGTTTCCGCTCCATACACTAGAACTGTCTTAACGTTTGTATTGTGTTGGCTGATCGACAGTTATTTTGTGTTCCAAATGTCCTTGCTTTGCCAATCCATGAAATTGTAACACTCGATTATATAAATTCAAATTTCATGGAGACCATCAAACGCCTCCGAATTGTAAATTATTCACATGCTGATGAGTATCGGCTAGGGCGATACAATGATGTGAATTTTTCACTTCAACTGCTTTCAACTGTTTGATTGATATTAATGTGATAAGATTTAGATAATAAAATAACTCGATAACTGTAAACTAACATGAAATTATCGACTGATGTAATCTTCAGTTTTTAATTTGGTTTATTAAAACAAAGACTGAACATCTATCATATATAAATGACTAGATTTTATTTGATAAGTCGTTTCATTTTTATCGTTCAGTCAGTCAGTCAATCATTCAGATGCAACATAGAATCTATCATCTGTGTACAATGGTTGTTACTGTCCATTAGCACGGGCAGACGAAATAGCCCCGTTTAAAAATATAAAACACACATAAACTAACTAATGTGATTAATAGTTGGTCGGTTTAAAGGGTTTAATGTGTTCGTTTCAATATTCGAATTCTGTTTCATGTGTATTTCTGTTGAGGTTTTTGTTAGTTTAATTACTCTGTCTAAGACTATCTGACTTAGGACAGAGGTAAGCTGGACTGGATTTTTTAATGTTTCTATATTTCGTTATAATTAACACTTAGGTAAGTAAGTAACTAACTAAGTAAGTAGGTAAGTAAGTAAGTGGCTAAGTAAGTAAGTAGGCAAGTAAGCAAGTGAGTAAGTAGGTAAGTAGGTAAGTAAGTAAGTAAGTAAGTCAGTAAGTAAGTAAGTAAGTAAGTAAGTAAGTGCACAAGTAAGTAAGTAAGTAAGTAAGTAAGTAAGTAAGTAAGTAAGTAAGTAAGTAAGTAAGTAAGTAAGTAAGTTAGTTAGTTAGTTAGTTAGTTAGTTAGTTAGTTAGTTAGTTAGTAAGTAAGTAAGTAAATAAGTAAGTAAGTAAGTAAGTAAGTAAGTAAGTAAGTAAGTAAGTTAGTTAGTTAGTTAGTTAGTTAGTTAGTTAGTTAGTTAGTAAGTAAGTAAGTAAGTAAGTAAGTAAGTAAGTAAGTAAGTAAGTAAGTAGGTAGGTAGGTAGGTAAGTAAGTAAGTAAGTAAGTAAGTAAGTTAGTTAGTTAGTTAGTTAGTTAGTTAGTAAGTAAGTAAGTAAGTAAATAAGTAAGTAAGTAAGTAAGTAAGTAAGTAGGTAGGTAGGTAAGTAAGTAAGTAAGTAAGTAAGTAAGTAAGTAAGTAAGTAAGTAAGTAAGTAAATAAGTAAGTAAGTAAGTAAGTAAGTAAGTAAGTTAGTTAGTTAGTTAGTTAGTTAGTTAGTTAGTTAGTTAGTAAGTAAGTAAGTAAGTAAGTAAGTAAGTAAGTAAGTAAGTAAGTAAGTAGGTAGGTAGGTAGGTAAGTAAGTAAGTAAGTAAGTAAGTAAGTAAGTTAGTTAGTTAGTTAGTTAGTTAGTAAGTAAGTAAGTAAGTAAGTAAGTAAGTAAGTAAGTAAGTAAGTAAGTAAGTAGGTAGGTAGGTAAGTAAGTAAGTAAGTAAGTAAGTAAGTCGGTAAGTAATACAGTGTTTGGTGAGATAAAGATACTGCTAAACATTGCCTGATTAGTAGATTTTTGGATAACATGAATATGCACTCAGCTAACTTTGTCACTAACACAATACGAGATTATCCATCCTTCTTCAATATGTTCAGTATATTTACAGTATTAACAATGATGAAGTACTGTTCCTCTCATTTATTGATCAATAGTGGTTTTGTTTGAAGCATTTGCAGTTAACTGTACATTTAGGGCAATCTAATGGAGCATAAGCCGTCGACCAGCATTCTCCAGCCAGAACTCTCTGTCCTCAGCCTTCCTTTCCATTTCTCCACTTCCTTAATCTACCTCTTTTCCTTTGGCCTTGAGAATTTCGAATTAGATCTCGCCTCGTAATGCACTTCGATGATTTCCACGATGTGTCTTATTCACTTTCCCCTTACTTTACCAATCCGTGAATATTATACCGTACCGAATCATTATTAAATGAAGCAACAAGGAAAAAAAACGCTACCTTGTTAAATATTCAATATTATAACTAACGTTCATTGAACATTGAACAAAATATGTTCGCTACAAAAATTCATCAATTCACTCATATCCCCTTACCTATCACATTCAACATATAATATCTATTGAAAGCATGAATCGATCAATGTTAGACCACCATTGTGCGCGAACGCCCTAACCGTTAGACCACTGAGCCGGTATGTAACGGTGTTAATGTCTAACTTGATCAAATCCACGAAGGTCCTGGGTTCGAATCCTGCGGGGTGCAGGAGTCGTGGATGCGCACTGCTGAGTAGTCCCATACTAGGACGAAACGGCTGTCTTTCAGTGCTTCTTCCAGGTTTCTTCTAATGGTGGTCTAACATTGATCATCGATTCATGGTTTCAAAAATATATATATATCTATTGACAATTTATTCAACCAAGTTTCTCTTATTCACACTTACTTACTCAATGAAAAACCGATTATATATTCACTACTTTGTTGTCATATTACAATTTGACATGCTTACTGTATGAAGTTGATGCATAATACTTGTTTAAATGTGGTTATAGATTGATTCTGTGAATGATTATTATTGTAATATTTTTCTTTAGAAAACAGCATTCAATTTGTTTATTTGACAAAGCATTCATTATACAAAAAAATAATGATTGTACAATTATTATTGTAAATTAATCATAATCGAAAATTTTTTTATGAATAGTGTGTAAAAAGTGGCAGGTAGGTAGGTAGGTAGATAGATAGATAGATAGATTGTTAGGTAGGTAGGTAGGTAGGTAGGTAGGTACGTATCTCTATTCAAACTTGTAAATTCGAAATATTTATGTATGTGCCTGTGTGTGCGTGTGTGTGTGGTGTGTTTGTGTGTAATTTACATTTTTTGTTACTCAACAGAATAGTATTCTACAAATGACAAATTATTTCATTATGTATGTGTGTGTACGTACACAACAAATACATTCTTCCTTCGTCTAGAATTACTTTTTATAAAAAAAGATCAAATTGTTTTATAATAATAGTTTTAATTTTTTTTTAAAATATCCTTTTTTTCTATTCTTTGTCAGACTAAGAAGTGTTTTTTTTTTTTAATTCAAGCAATAAAAAACGTGACATCATTGTCACATGTCACACCACACACATATATATTACAGTTTGAATGGGTTTTTTAATTTTGCGCCACATGATTATGTCAGTGTACTACTACTACTATTATTATGTGTAGTGACTAAGAAAATAATCACACTTCTTTGTAGAGAAAAATAAAGTATAAGTTTGTTTGAAATTCAATTGTCAATGTGATGATGATGATTATTGTAGATTGTGTGTAGATATCATCTCATACAAACAAACAAACAAACAAGTTCGTGATGATTAACTGCTATTGTTGTTGCTTTTTTTTAAACTTTGTTCCCATGTTACAATTTCACACTTACTTAGCAGGATGACTGATTGTTTTTGATATCGATCGGTGTTTGAATATTGAATTTGATAAGAATGAATTAAGAGAATTTCTCGCTTTTTTTTTAAATGGAATCTGATGACACTAGTTTGTTTTTAACATCATTTTTTTTCTGTTGTGACAGTCAACATTGCACGTGTGTGTTCATATTTCAAACTTAATTTTTGAATATTATCATTATTATTGGATAGATTAAATTGTGCGCTTTAGGTTCAAGGTCATTTTTATCTGCCATTTTGCATTTAGTAATACATTAAAACAAATCTATTTTTTTATACATATTTTTTTGACAGTTATCCATTGATAAATAAATCACCCGTTGAAACTCGATCAAAAGACTCTCCTCTAACAATTGTGAATCATTTAAATCAATCATATTTACGACCAACACAATTAAATTTAACAACTAGTAAACATTTATCTGATGATGAATCTTATTCATCATCATTGCCTTCTTCTTATCTTTCATTGACAACAGGAACACCTACTGCTACTATTGCTTCATGTCCACAATCATCATCTGTGATATTAGATTATTCTGAATTCAATCATCAATTATCAACTGATGCTAGTGATAATACTACTAATAATAATAATATTAGTAATCATAATAATCATAGTATTTCCAATCAAATATTATTACCAAAACAACGTTATATTAAATCGAATCGTAATTTATGCCATGAACAATTACATAATCAATTAATCAGTTCAAACAATAATAATAGTAATCCTACTCATACCAATCAGAATGGCAATCAATCGTTAGGATTTTTAAATGGTCGATGTAATCTAGTAGATTTAACTGGTTTAACAGAAATCGAATCGATATCATCTACCAGTAATAGTAGTAGTAGTAATAATAATACTACTTCCACATCTCCAACAATGACAACCACTACAACACCATGGTTTGCTGCTGCGGCAGCAGCTGTAGCTGTTGTTATGGCAGCGTCTCAATCGTCCTCCTCCTCGTCATCATTATCACCGTCAATGACTTCGAATTTATTGGATTCATATACAGTGACATCAAATTTAAATGAATGTTTTGGAATTAACAATAATAACAATATTAACAATAATCATAGTTCAAGTATGATGAATCAAGTCAATAATAATAATAATAATCGACGTGTTCCAATGAATACAAGTAATTTTTCAAAGGTAAGAAGAATAAGAAGGGAGAATTGATAAATAAATCAATAACTAATGTTACATTTGAGGTCAGCTAATTTTCTAGTGAATTATGTTTGTTCTCATTGAGATTACTTCTTTGTTATGCTGGAGAATATTTACTTACTTACTTACTTACTTACGCTTGTTACTTACTCCCAGTGGAGCATCGGTTGCCGACCAGTATTCTTTAACCTACTCTGTCCTGGGCCTCGGTTTCCAGTTCTGTCCAATTTTTGTGGCTAGTAGAATAGTTTCATAAAGGATAATATGAATTGACTGTGATGTTGAATCTGCAATATGAGGTGGATACAAGATATTTAGTCTAACAGGATACTCTACAAATAGTATGTGACATATATAAAGCTCATGAACGTTTAACCTCAAGACTACTTGAGCTGACATCTACTGGTGTAAATGTTTAACTGTAATCAGTCCAAGGTATTGCGTATCCTCACCTTATAGTCTTCGGTGGGTAACTAACTGCCTACACCCACCAGGACTAAACTCCACTGGTTATAGCTTCTCACTAGAACTCTGAGAATTTCTTCACGAAACTAGTCACTTATGAGCAGCAAGTCCGTTGCTTCTAGGTTTTTAATGGGGTAATTTAACAATGATTGATTCACTATTCCAATGTGAAAACTACAATCTCTGTAACCCTATGATGAATATATATATATATATATATATATATATATATATATATTTATTTATTTATTTATTGAAATTATTAATCATTCATTGTTAGACCACCATTAGAAACCTGAAAGCGCTACAGAAGACAGACGTTTTGTCTTGGTATGGGAGTGCTCATCAGTAGCAGTGAGCATCCATAACTCCTGCCAGTCACCGGATTCGAACCCAGGACCTTCGATCTTGCGCGCGAACACCTAGACCACTTGGTCAGAGTTAGACAATAACACCGTTGGGTGTCGGCTCACTGGTCCTGAGGTTAGGCGTTCACGGGCAATCTCGCGAGTGGCAGGAATCATGGCTGTGCACTACCACTGATGACTAGTCCGTTGCATGGACGAAACGATCGCCTTCTTCAGTGCTTCAATGCTTCTAATGATGGTCTAAAAATGATTGATTGATGATTTCAAATGTGTAAAGCACTGATTTCCATTACATTTCTATTCTTTTCACATGATTTAAAGCAACGTTTCAAATTAGATCTACATGAAACTGTCTTGGATCATCATCATCATCATCAACATCAACTACTGCCTGAAAGAGCATTTCTATCAAATTCACATCAGTTGAATGCATATAATAATGATAATAATAATTCCATTGCTCCTATTCCTACAAATGAGCATCAGATTCATGAGAATCTATTGAAAATCAATAAAATCAGTGAATTATCCAATGAGACAACAACAATAATACCTGCAGCATCAGCATCAGCTGTAGCCTCCTCCTCTTCATCATCATCAGCTGCTGCAGCCACCTTCTCTGATGTCACGCACCCGTCGACCATAGCTGCAATGCAAGCGGCAGCTGTTGCTGCTGCGGCGGCTGCTACAGCTGCTGGTCTAGTACTATCCAATAGTTGTGTACGTGGATTATCCGATGAAATTTATCCCAATTTAAATCGTGTTCATATGTCCAATGCATTGACTGAATTATCGAATAATCATCATTGTTTTACATCGAATACACCAACACCAGCACCACTGTTCACATCAACCACATCCTCTTCGTCGTTGTCATCATCATCATCGTCACCACCTCAAATCATTAATAATTTTGGTAGAATTATTGAAAATCTTTCCATCTATTCATCCTCGTCATCGTCGTCATTATTATCATTGACAACGTCTACAACAACACCTGTAACAACCAATCCGTTGTCGTCGTCGTCGTTGTCAATGATGAATCATTATTCTGTTCATCATTCCATTGTAAATAATAATAATAATAATAGTACAGTACCAACAGTTAGTAGTGGACCAATTATAAATAGTAAAGAAATTAATCCACGTTTAAGAAATTCTACTAAACCGGTAGGTTTTATCAAACTATTGAATTGATGTGAAATTTAAATTGTGCCTGTAAACCACCATTATAAATCATTTTATGTTGAAATCATGGATGAATGAATCATTAGAAACTGGGAAGCATTGCAGAAGATGGCTGTTTCGTCCTGATATGAGACTGCTACTCATCAGTGACAGTGTGTATCTACGACTCCTGCTGCTACTCGCAGGATTCGAACTCAGGGCCTATAATGTGCTCACCAGAGACTACTAACTTCGTGAGGAAATTCTCGGAGTTCTAATGAGAAGATGTGGCCAGTGTAGTTCAGTCATGTAGGGTGTATGTTGGGTGTGTATGTTAGATCTCCAGAACTTGCTTGATAAATATCTTTATTTTTGGATTTATTTTATGGGCAGATCAGTTGACTTTGAGATCACATTTCCCACCAAGGAAAATCCTTGGCTGTGATTGATTACTGTGTCATTTTAGTGTGCTAATTTTGTGATTGTCCCAAGGACGTCTCTATAGAGTATAAGTAAACGCAATTTCAGCAGTGCCTTGATTCATTGTGTGCTTGCTGGGTGCTTGTAGGAATACACTTCCTACGCTATATCAAGACTTGTTGCTGGTACAATTTGGTCAAGGGATCAGAGTAGCCTACCTAGACGCTGGTTCATTGTTTTGTTCTCGTTATTCGACTAAGATGAACTCGTAATAGTTTAAGCATACCTAGAGATGAGCATAACACTGTAGGCAGTAACTACCGAAGACAAATGGATGAGGTCGCGCAAAATCCCTAGATCAATCAAAGTTAAACATTAACACCGTCGGATGGTGGCCCAGTGATACAGAGGTTAGGCGTTCGCGCGCAATACCGAAGGTCCCGGGTTCGAACCCTTCGAGTATCAGGAGTCGTGGATGCGTACTGCCAATGATGAGTCCCATGTCAGGACGAAACGGTGGTCGTGTTTCGGTGCTTTCATGTTTTTAATTATGGTCTAATAATGATTTATTCATGATTTCAATGTAAAACTGCCATCTCCTTAAGGCTCTATATGAACAATTAAATTCATTGTTTTAACAAGCTCTTCTTTTGCTGAATACTTGACGTTTTTAAACTTTGAAATTATGAATCGATCATTGTTAGACTACCATTAATAAATCTGGAAGCATTAAAGAAAGACAGTCTCTTCGTCCTAGTATAGAGTTTATCAGTAGTGTGTATCTACGACCCTTGTACACAAGAACCGAGCCTAGGACCTTCGCGCGAGTGCGCGCACGAATGTTTAACTTTTAAACCTCTGAGGTCTAGCCTCCAACGGTATTGATATCTAACCTTTCATTTCAATGAAACTCAATAATCTCTCATAACTCTTTAGTGAAAAAAACTTTTAGACATCTCCTTTTTAAAAAAAAATATTATCAGCCTAATTGTTCAAAGCAGACATTAAATCTTGTAAATTATTTTTAAAAAAAATCAAAAGTTTATTGTTTTTATTAGTAGTATGAAAATAGTCATTACATTGTTCGTTCATCTGTAAACAAATACATGTGTGATTAGTCAGAATTATAAACAGAAGGTGTGAAATGAACACATGGAATAAAGTTTCCTGTAGGCGACATTAGTACTTACTTACTTACTTACTTACGCCTGTAACCCCCAATGGAGCATAGGCCGCCCACCAGTTTTCTCCAACCAACTCTGTCCTGGGCTTCCCCATTCCAGTTCTGTCCAATGTTTGTTCATTCCTCTCATATCTTTCTCTATTTCTCGGCGTAATGTATTCTTTGGCCTTCCTCTTTTCGTTTTGCCTTGAGGGTTCCATATGAGGGCTTGTCTCGTGACGCAGTTAGGTGCTTTCCGTAGTGTGTGTCCTATCCACTTCCACCGCTCCTTCCTGATTTCCTCTTCCACTGGAATCTGACTTGTTCTCTCCCACAGTACGTTGTTGCTGATGGTGTCAGGCCAATGAATACGAAGTATTTTGCGTAGACAACTGTTAATAAACACTTGTATCTTCTGGATGATGACTTTGGTAGTCCTCCAAGTTTCCGCTCCATACAGTAGAACTGTCTTCACATTTGTATTGAAAATCCTGATTTTGGTTTTGATTGAAAGTTGTTTGGAGTTCCAGATATTTTTCAACTGTAGAAATGCAGCCATCGCTTTGCCAATCCGCGCCCTCACATCTGCATCGGATCCACCTTGGTTGTCGATGATGCTGCTAAGATATGTAAAGGTGTTAACATCCTCCAAGGCATCTCCATCAAGCGTGATTTGGTTGGTGCATGTTGTGTTGCATCGGAGAATTTCGCTTTTTCCTTTATGTATGTTGAGACCTGGTGCTGCAGAGGCTGCAGCTACACTGGTCGTCTTCTCTTGTATTTGTTGTTGCGTGTGAGATAGAAGAGCCAGCTCATCGGAGAAGTCCAGATCGTCCAGCTGCGTGCTAACTGTCCAGTTGATACCGTGCTTCCCTCCAGATGTCGACGTTTTCATAATCCAGTCGATCACCAGGAGACATTGGTATTTCAGTCCAATCAATAATGACCGTTATATACATTCCAATATGATTTTATTTTAGTGGATAAAATTTAATTATTTCACTGTTAGTTGAAGTTTGTACACTGATATAGTATATGATTAAAAACACAAACAACGTAAAGCTCCACAACCAAAAACATCCAGGTCAGCGAATAAAACTCCACCTTGAATTTTTACTATATCGATAAATTCACATTGAGAACATTGAGAACTTCGGTTTTTTGAAATCATGAATCGATCAATGTTTGACCACTATTAGAAACCTGGAAGCACTGAAAAACGGTCGTTTCGTCTTGGTATGGGACTCATCAACTCACTAGTCACTAGCTCCGTAGGGAATATTCTCTGAGTTCTAGTGGGAAGTCGTGATCAGTGAAGTTCAACTGGTTCAGGTGTAGACAGTAACTACTACCGAAGACTGTGTATGAGGTTGCGCAACTCCCTGAATTGATTGAAGTTAGACATCTTACACTTGTTAGATACCGGCTCAGTCGTCCAGAGGTTAGGCGTTCGCGCGCAAGACCGTAGGTCCTGGGTTCGAATCCTGCGAGATTCGGGAGTCCTGGGTGCGCACTGCCACTGCTGATGAGTAGTCCCATAGTCGGACGAAACGGCTGTCTTTCGCAGTGCTTCCAGGTTTCTAATGATGGTCTAACACTACTGATCGATTTATGATTTCAAATGTGTAATTTAACAATCTTCACAACCCCGTAATGCAACTTTGTTTTTGCTTACAAGAATTAAAGAGCAATTTTATTCATGACTTGAATGTAAATTGTGAAATTTGTTGATCGAAGAAAACTAACGTTTAAAATATGAAATAACAGAAAAAGTCGTTTTTTTCTTTAAATCAAATTAATGTTAACCTAAAAAATGTAACGCGCAATGAACAGTTGTTTATATTTTGTTCAATAACATTGAAATTGTAAAAAAATTTAAACACAGTCTGATTGTTTTGAAAATGTTCTTCTAATCATTTTTATGATTGTATATCGTTATGATTATTACTATTATTATTATTATTATTATTATTATTATATTTGTAGGATTATGACTGAAATAAGTAGTATATCAATTAGAATGTTCTAATTGCCAATGTACCGTAATACAATAAGTAGACAATTCAGACTAAGTTATGATATGAGTTTCGTTGTCCGAGCTATCTATCTATATGTTTCCGGTTCAAATTGAAAACTATGAATTGATGATATCTTTCGATGTCACAGCCTTAGTCATTTCAATCGAAATAGCTTACAGCTAAAGAAACTCTCTCCTTGCTCCTCACCAGCGACATAAATGTCCCAACGGATCCGGAACTTCACAGTCACAGTCTACTAGAAAGTTATTGATTTACGCTTAACAATATATTTGCAATTCAAGAACAAAATCTACGAACAAACGAAAGGAACACCGATGGGGATCATCAATATCAGGACGTATTATTGTAGAAGCCATGTTGTGCGGAGACTAGAAACCTCAATTTTATCTGTGATCAAGCCAAAAATGTGAGTTCGCTATGTAGACAACACATTGGTCATCAATAAAAGAAACAAGCTGGAGAACACCTACAATTGGGATCAACAAAGTCACTGATGACATAAAATTCACAACATAAAAGGATTCACCAGAGCTGACATAGGGAAACTGGAGACTTTGGAAGCCAACCCACACAGATCTAATTCTCAACTACAATAGCAACAACCCAAGAACTCACAGCATCACCTGTGTACAAACTTTATTCAAGAGAGCGCAAACACACTTGAGCACACATGAGGCACAAAAAAGTGATGAAAAATATCTGATGACTGTCTTCCAAAAGAACGTCTGTTCGCACAACTCCATCAAAACACTCAACTGAAATCGTCAAAAGAGGCGAAGTTAAGTTCAGGAACCAACAAACAGGTCATCCTACTTACCATATATATAAAAGATATATGGGAAATTACAGCTCGATTACTGAAATCATTTGGAATAGCTGTTCGTGGCACAAGTCAACACAACACAACCACCAAAAAAAAGCATCCAGCTCAGAGAATAAAACTCCACTGTAATCATCCACCTGAGCTACAAATTCCTCATGCACCATCTCACAACTCAAACTAAATCTTAAATGACTGTATTATACTTTTATCCATAGTGTGTAACTAGACTTGATAGTAGTTATCATATCGCAATAGTGACGTAGAAACTATTCGTTTGATTGAATACTTTTTGTTATGATGATCCAACACAAAGCTACGTGAATAGATTAATATTCACATCATTTCTGAATGCAACCAAGATTATTGAACTATTTATTCTTCCTTTTCCTTCATCTGAGTCAGTCAGTCAGTTAGTCAGTTACGGCGTAGAACTTCGTACATCGTCAGTTCAAGTTGCCATACCACATTAGCATAGAGGCGCAATGGTCACTTCAAATCCCATAGTGGTAGAGATAGTAGAAGTATTAACAGTAATAATCTAAAAGAGATTAGGTTTCAAAGATATTATTCAAGAAGTAGAATCTAATGAAATCAACTTGGGTGATGAGGAATTCAAAAGGTTAAGATTTGACAGAACACAAAGAATGAATACACTTGCGCCATTTCAAACGGTTTCGAGCCATGTCGTTCATTCATTCAGTCAGTCAGTCAGATGCAACGTAGAACGTAAGTACGTCAGTTCATGTTGCCATACCACATCAGCACAGAGATGTAATTCTCAATTCAAATCCAATAGTAGAAGAGGTAGTAAAGGTATTAGAAGTAATCGGGACAGGTTAGGATTAGAAGATATTATTATTCAAGAAGTATGATTCAATGAGAAAAGTTTAGAAAGTCAAAACTAGAGTTGTTGAAGAATCCAGAAGATTAGGATTTGAGAGAACACATAGAATAAATGCACCGGCGCCATTGCGAACGGTTTTGAGCCATGTCATTCAAGGTCTCGCTGTCCATCGATTATTATCATCTCGCGGACCCCAACCATGTAGTCGACAATTACCGACATGGCTAAGTCGGCTATTCAGATTCTCTAAACATCGATTACTATTATCTTGATGGTTAGAGACTTTGAATGATATGAATGTCTCGAATTATATATATCCTTACACTTGAATCGTGCTCTCCTCTCTCTTCACGATTAAAGAGTTATATATCAGAAAGTCAAATAACTTATCCCTCAGTCTAATGTGTAATGAATGATCTTGCGGTTGTATTATTTTTTTTAGTGTGTCATCCTGAGCATCAGTTAGTTATCTCCGATGTGAATTTCATAGGATTTCATGCAATACTCAATGCACTGTTGCATTCATCGAAAATAGCAAGTTGAACTGTTAGCAATTTCACGATCCTTTTCAATTGAGTGCATAAAATTTTATTTCCCAAAGTGGATGGATATCTTTTTATGAAAAGTTTTATTATCACTTCAATGTTGTTAACCAGTGGTGGTAACTAGTGGTTTTTAACACATTATACCTATAATGATCTTGGTTCGAATTCCTTGACAGAGGTGAGATGATGATTAAGTTTTCTTCAGATTGTCGATTCATTTTGATAACTGGCGCAAAAACCCCCCCTGTTTATGAAGTCATCGGCTTGAGATTTCCATGTCGATTACATCAAAGTAAAGTTTCATTCTTTTTGCATCAGTAATAATAATAATAATAATAATAATAATAATAATATTCTTATTTCATTTTTTATCATTCCAGACTTCTATCACAGTACAACAATTTTCTGAACGTATACATATTGCTGCCAAATATATGATGACTGAAAGAAAGGTCAGTCAGTATTCAAATGTTTTTTTTATTTCCATATTGTAATCTTCCTGTTACATGTTATCATCAGTTTTAAATTTGAGAATTTTAAAAATCCTGTATACATATTTTTTTTTCTGGTAAATATCAAATACAACAGAAATGTATCATTTTGAATAGAGAATGTGATATTGAATTTTTTTAGCGCGAGTTTTAACACTAAATAATAAAGATATTTTTATTTAGTGCTAAAAATGTGTATCCTGTCCACGTCCAACGCTCCTGTGTGATTTCTTGCTCAGCTGCAATCTGGTTTGTTGCCTTACACACAGTAGTAGTGTGGTGTGAGCTACTTATAAGTAGTATATGACTTGAGCGTCAACGTAATGTCTGGCAGCGGAAAATGAGGAGAGATCAAGAAAGGAAGAGTTAGAAAACAATGGAATTTGTATGAAACGCATGAACAGTGACAATGGATTGATGTTTTGCAATAGGAACAGTCCAGTTCGATATGATGAACTGTTATTTTGCAAATGAACGATTTACGATATGGTTTTCCAATTTTACTGAGTAACTCTGTAATTTTCGTTAATTTTCGTTCTCCTTCACTACAACAGTAGTAGTTTATTGCTGATGGTGTCTGACCAACGGATCCACAGTATCTTGCATACACAACTGTTAATGAATAAATACTTGTATCTTTCCGATGATGATTGTTCTCCAAGTTTCCGCCCCAATTCTAACTCTGTTGTTGGCTGATAGTTGTTTTAAGTTCTAGGTTTTAGGTTTTTTAATTAAAGAAATGTTGTCCTTGCTCTGCTAATCCATACCCATCACATCGCTATCAGATCCACATTGAGCATCAGTGATGCTACCCAGATATGTAAAGGTTTACACATCCATCCTCCAAAGCTTCTCCATCAAGTATGGTTTAACTGATGCATGGTTTGTTGTATCGGAGGCTGTTGCTTTCTCGTTTGTGTATGTTGAAACCTACTATTGAAGAGGTTGTCTCCAAACTGGTTGTCTTTTCCTGCTTTTGTTTTTGTGTGTGTGTGATAAAAGACTTAGATCATTTTGTGGTGGCTTTTCGTTCCGTGAGCCAGATGTTTTGGTTGTGGAGCTCAAATGAAATAAATTCAGTATTACTTATTGTGTAATCATTAATCTCTAGACTTTAAGGCTCTTTTTTTAAATTACGGGATTGTTAAGTTGCACATTTGAAATCATGAATCGATCAATGTTAGACTACCATTAGAAACCTGGAAGCACTGCGAAAGACAGCCGTTTCGTCCTGGTATGGGACGCTACTCATCAGCAGTGGTAGTGCACATCCACGACTCTTGCACCCTGCAGGATTCGAACCCAGGACTTGTGGTCTTACGCACGAACGCCTAACCTCTGAACCACTGAGCCGGTATTTAACAAGTGTTAATGTCTAACTTCGATCAATTCAATTACTATTAATTAATAACCGGTTAGGGCGTTTGGGATACTGTAAATTACAGGTTCGATTCTTTCTTGTGGGGTCATAAGTGTGTACTGCTGAGGAGTAGTCACATACTAGAAACAAATAGCCATACAGTGCCTCCAGATTTTCAATGATTGTCTAACTAAGATCAGTTCATGATTTCATTGGGTGAAAATAATACAATCTCTAAAATTCTCCTTTACTAATAACAATCATATACTACTCACTAGTGATAAGTTTCAAGTTGTATTCCTTAGAGTTTTAATGAGAAACTCTGACCAGTAGAATTCAATTTTTGTCAAGTATGCGACAGTAGTTAACCACCACATGCCATAAATAAAGGTTCCACAAGATCATAAGTTAATTGAAATCAAACATTAATATCGTTGAATTGCTGGTTCCATGTTCAAGAAGAGGTTGAGCGTTCGCGCATGATACTGAAAGTTCTGTGGCTTCGAATCTCACTTTCGAGGAGGTCATTAGTGTGTACTACTGAACAACTCCATATACTCGAACAACACATTCGTTCAGTGCCTTCAGCTATCTACTTAATATATTGTTCTAGCTAAAATCATTTCGAGATTGTCAACTATTGAATATAAAACAGTTTTCGAACACCACCCCCCCCCTTTTATTTATAAATTTATCAATAAACAAATTTGTTTTCAACTTTAAATTTAATCAAAATTGAATAAAGATTTTTGTTGAACTAGTTTACAGAAAAATATTGACAGGTTCATTGATAAATAATAACTGTTGTTTATGTTTAAAATTTGTGTTGATCAGAAAATTCTCTCTAGTTTTCAGTAATATTACTTTGTAGAAAATGTTATTTATGTTTTTAGCGGATTGTTTTTCATTTTGAATTATGTGTATATATATATATATCACCTTCCGTATTTCGTGACACGCTACAATATGCCGGATTACCACTTCGGTCATTGTTCTTGCCCGCTGGTCTGGAAATGAGTACGGCATCTATCCAACGTGTAGCGTTTACTAGTTCCCGCTGCTGGGACACGGCGGCAGTCACACTCTCAATGAATTGCGACGCCAACAACTGTGCCTCCGACTCCTCATCGATACTCGGCAGCGCACGGCGCGGCAACATCGTGAGCTCCACAGCCAGCACCAACGGGTCACCATCGGCCGACAGCCTCTCCAACCGTAACCTCTGCGGCGCCTCCTCCCTGTCGGTCATCAGCCGCCCGGTGACCGTCTCCCATGCCGTCTTCCCGGCGGCACCGTCCAGACTGTCGTTTACCGCCTTCGCCTCACCTCCCAGAAGGGTCCCCAGCACTGCCAACTCCGCCCCGGGCCTCTTCACACCCACCAGCCCCACCGCGGCCTCAAACTCCTCTAGGAAGCTCCGCAAATCTCCGTCCCCCAACTCCTTCGGCCACGGGAGCTCCTTCCTTCGAGCAGGCAGCGACACCAATCATAAATCGATCAACGTTAGGCTATCATTAGGAACCTGGAAGCACTGGACGGCCTTTCCGTCCTAGTATGAGACTCTGCATATCCATGACTCCTGCTCAAGGCCATTCGAACCCGTGACCTTCGGTCTCGCATGATAATGCTTAATTTCTATACCACCAAGCTGGCATTCAACAGTGTCAATGTCTTTCGTGACCTCACCCATTATATTCGGTAGGCATCGCTTCATACCCGACAAGGTTGAACTTCACTGGTCATGCCTTCTCACTAGAACTCGAGGAAACTTTCTGACGGAGCTAGTCACTATTGAGCACATGATAATTTTCGTCATACGATCGTGGATGAGCACTGTTGATCAGTCCTCCTATACTAGGATGAAATGGCTATCTAGTGCTTCCAGGTTTCTAATAGTGGTCTTACATTGATCGATTTTTGAAACTCAACAATCTTCAGAACCCTATAGTGAAAAATATATATATATATGGACATGCGTACTACTCTGTCCAACGAACGAAAATTGTATTATGTACAACCATCTCATCAATGTGTTCACCCATTTTCATAGCGTTGATTGAATGAAAATGCCTTATTCATTTGAGTCTATTATTCTATACTGTCTACTGTCGACAAATGTATTGATTCAGGATTATTTTATATGATTCCTAAGGCTTCATCTATTTTTTCAGATAGAAATTAATAGTAATATAATAATAGTAGTAATAAGTACACCAATAAAAATGTTATATAGCGGCTGCGTGGACCTCGAAGTAGGGCTCACTACTTTTTGTGACCAGCGGCGATCTGACTCTAGTTTTTGGGCGGACAGTCGATTATGTGATAAAATAAATCGTCTCTCTTTAATTTCCGTATATATCATACTTCAGCGAACCCCGTTTTTATTGAGACGGTGGTAATCAGTTTATTTCAGGAAATCGTTCACTCAGAGGTGATACGAAGTGGAGTAGTTGAGTGAGCTAACTCAATAATGCCATAAGTTCATGGCAATCGAACAGAAATAAAGCCGGACATGCAGTAAGCGAAGTAAGCATGCACACACGCACACACAGCCATGTGGTGCGAGCTACTTATAAGTAGTATATGACTTGAGCGTCAACGTAATGTCTGGTAGCAGAAGATGGGGGAAGATCAAGAAAGGAAGAAAGGGAACACAATGGAATTTGTATGACACGCATGAATAGTGACAATGGATTGATGTTTTGCAACAGGAACAGTCCAGTTCGATATGATGGATTGATATTTTGCAAATGAACGATTTACGATATGGTTTTCCAATTTTACTGAGTAACTCTTTAATTTTCGTTAAATACGATTCGGTTGCCCCACCAGTGTTCTCGTTCACTACACACATACTGGAATAAAAATAACCAAAGTCATCGGTGGATAATTGACAAGGTCAAAAGACAAGTGAATATAACAATATGAACTCAGGAAGAATGGATGGCAAACGGAAACTGAATTGGGGAGATTTAATTTCATAGCATATATAATTGTTCATAAATATCGGAGTTAGATCGTGGCCCACCTGAAAACCATTCACGCTAGGCTTTACATTATGTATGATTGTTAACCTTGAACATGATTACCATTCACGTGAGTTTTTTTAATGGAGGTTATACAACCAACCAAGGCTGTGAACAAACAACTGACAAGGTCAAAAGATGAGTGAATAGTATAGTAATAGTAATAGTAATTATTATAACTAGAGAAGAATGAATTAATCAAGTTGTCTAAAAACTAAGACAAACCATATGAGCTCGACTTAAAAGTACTTACACACCCACACCCACACACACACGCACACAATGGATTCAGTTGACCATGTAATTACACATTTGAAATCATCAATCAATCATTGGTTAGACCAACATTAGAAACCTGGAATCACTGGACGTCCGTTTCGTCCTGGTATGGGACTCATCAACCCGTGACCTTCGGTATTGTGCGCGAACGCCTAACCACCGGACCACTGGGCCGGCATTCAACGGTGTTAATGTCTAACTCTGATAAATCTAGGGATTTTGCGCGACCTTACCCATTTGTCTTTGATAGTTACTGCCTGCACCCGACAGGGTTGAACTCCATTGGTCACGTCCTCTCAATTAGAACTCCGAGAATTTCCTCACGAAGCTAGTCACTAGTGAGCACTGTTACGATACTTTGGGGCAGAGTTTTCGAGGTTTTGTGTTTTTACACATTAACACCGTTGGATGCCGACCCAGTGGTCCGGTGGTTAGGCGTTCGCGCACAGTACCGAAGGCTTCGGGTTCGCAGGGCGAAGAGCAGGAGTCGTGGATGCCCACCGCTAATGAGTCCCATACCAGGACGAAACGGCCGTCTTTCAGTGCTTCCAGGTTTCTAATGGTAGTGATCTAACAATGATTGATTGATGATTTCAAATGTGTAAAAACACAAAACCTCCAAAACTCTGCCCCAAAAGACCATGTAATTGTTGACACATAATGTTGGAAAATGACGCCTATTTTCGCTAAATACTTACTGTGTTGATGACTGTTTTTTTTGCTGTTTGTATATATCTTTTAGAATATTCGAAATAATTTACCACAACCATGTCGATTAATACAACCAACTGATAGTGTTGAAGATATATGGAGTCAAATGATGCGACATTTTGAAACACATTCACGTTTTATTGTACAGTTTGTGAAATACATTCCAGGTAATAATAAATGTGTGTATTATTGCTGACAATTTCTTTTATGATTATTATTTTTTCTCGTTTGCTTCTATATCGATTGATTTCTTGTCATTTTTTTGTTAAAGGTGATTTTTTATGTTCATGTTTTTTCTAGTGTTTTCTCAATCAGAGTCATGAAGATGATTGGTTTTTATTTATACTTTGATATTATGAATGGGACATTGTTAGACCAGCTCATATTAGAAACCTGGAAGCACTGAAACACGGCCGTTTCTTCCTGGTATGACGCTTATCAGTGGCAGTGAGCACCAACGACTCCTGTCACTTGCAGGATCTGAATCAAGGACCTTCGGCCTTGCGCTCGAACACCTAACCTCTGGAGTACTGAGCTAGCATCCAATGGTGTTTATGTCAAATTCTGATAGATCTAGGACTTTTGCGCGACCCCAACCATTTGTTTTCGGTAGTTACTGCCTACGACCGATAAGACTGAGCTCCACTGGTCATGTTTTATCATTAGAACTCCGAGAATTTCCTCACGAAGCTATTAGTCACTAGTGTGCACATTGTATGATTTTTCAATTAGAGTTATGGAGATTAGTCTTGTTACACATTTGAAATCATCAGTTAATCATTGTTAAACCACCATTAGATACCTGGAAGCACTGAAACACAGCTGTCTCGTCCTGCTTGGTATGGAACTACTCATTAGTGGCAGTGCGCATCCACGACCCCTGCTACTCGTAGGATTCAAATCCAAGACATTCGGTCTTGCGCGCGAACGCCCAACCTCTGGACCGCTGTAACGGCGGGATCCAACAGTGTAAATGTCTAACTCGGATTGATCTAAGGATTTTTGAGTCTTCGTTAGTTACTGCCTACATTCGACAGGTTTGAAATTCAATGGTCACGTCTTCTCAACTAGAACTCCGAGAATTTCCTCATGAAGCTAGTTTTCACTAGTGAGCACATTGTATGATTTTTCAATTCGAGTTATGGAGATCAGTGGTTATTATTGTTAGACCATCATTAGAAACCTAGAAGCACTCACTGAAAGCTGACCGTTTCGTCATGGTATTATAGGGACTGACTCATCAGTGGCAATGCGTATCTACAACTCCTGCTACTCTCAGCAATCAAACCCCAGAACCTTCTCATCTTTCTTCGCGCTAACATCTAATCATACATTTTTGATTTTCATAAAAAAAAAAGCGCACTACAACACTTTGTGGTTCTTAAAAACAGAAAAAGCTAATTTTCTTTAGTACTAATGTAAATACTAATTTATTTATCGACCTATAATGGTCTGTTAACCAGCCTACAAAGTAAACTAAAACATTTTATTTTTTCTATCACCACCCATCTCTTAGTCGTAATAAGATTGTGTTTTGTTTTTTTCTGTTTGTATTCATTCACTAGTGCATGATTTAGTTTGAAATATTTTTTTTCGAAACAAACGATTTTAATTACTCGATGTAACACAACGCACTTGTATGTAGGAATGATAAAAAATAATAGCTAGTTAACTAACAGCCAGTGTGCCGTCATAAACTTACATAAGATGACTTAGGAATCTGAATATTTAACCCCCAAATCAATGTGAGAACTCGTTATAATTTTGCGTTAGAATTGGATGTTGGCCCAGTGATGGTTCAGAGGTTAAACGTTCACATGCAAGATCGAATGTCCTGAGTTCGATTCCTGTCGGTAGCAGAAGTCATGGATGCCGCACTGCTAATGAGTCGTAATCTCATACCAGGACGACACGACTATTTTTTGAACAACACATATAAGCGAACAATACTGTTGTTTTCGATTAGATCGTCATCAGGCTTTACTCTAATATACATGAATATTTATATGAAAATGTTAAACCAATCAAGGCAATGAGTGAACATCTCCCAGCATGGTTTACAAAGGGTCAGTCAAAAACAATACACAGTTCTATCTTAGCACACCTGGTTGATAGTGGTCACATTGTAGATAAATCTAGATCTTTTCGGGTGATCTATCTTGTATACCTCCATCATCATTTCCCAACGGAGTTCGATCCCGTCTCCTACACATTGCAGAAGCCATAGGAATACGTAGTACATTCAACCCTAATTTATGTGTTCAGAAGAAATTCGTGACACCCCTATCTCTTCCGTGGCCGGATATGACGTAACTAACGATTGACATTATATATATTTTTATTTATTTTAATTTTATTATTTTTACACATCTGCTTATTACGTAATGTTTTTGATGTTTTTGATGATTATTTGAATTCTGTTCATCCACCCTTGACCTACTTTAGTTATCATATTTTATAAATTTTCCTACTACTATCGGTTCACCTATCTTCCTATTATCCACTTGTACTTTTGCCTTTTTCATTTCATTGTGTTTATCACTCAAATTTGCCTTGATTGGTTTAACATTTTTCATATATAAATATTCATGTATATTAGAGAGTAAAGCAGCCTGATGACGATCTAATCGAAAACAACAATATTGGTCGCTTATATCGGTGTTGTTCTAATTTTCATGACTATTTTTCACTGCTTCTAGGGTTTCTAATGGTGGTCTAACACAATGATTGATTCATGATGTCAATTATTATAATGTTTTATGATGATTATTTTAAGTCTATTTATATCCATGTTTCATCTACTACACACTACTTTTAGTTGTAATGTTGAACTAGTGACAGAAAATTTTTCCGTCATTGCATTTTATTATTCCAACAGTACACCGGTGTTTTGACTATCAACTTGTACTTTTCTATTTATTATGTGTAGTTACTTACTTACTTACGCCTGTTACTCCCAATAGAGGAGCATATAGGCTGCCGACAAGTTTTCTCCAACCAAAACTCTCTGTCCTGGGCTTTCATTTCCAGTTCTGTCCAATTTTTGTTCATTCTCCTCATATCTTTCTCTATTTCTTGGCGTAATGTGTTCCATGTGCAGTTACGCAATCTCTATTTCATTATGATTGATTATTGACTTATAAGAGAAATAATAAAACAGTATAAAACCTGATGACTGTGTAATTGAAAATATCTGTGTTGTGTTCTAATCAAACGAATGAATTGCTTATAAATGTGTTATAAGTTCAGCTTGTCGGGCAATGAATTCTCCTATCACTATAACATGAAACAGGCATTGAGAGCTTCTTATTTTTCACTAATACGTAATTGATTGCGAAATTTGCGACCAAAAAGTACACAAGTTATTGTGATGTAACTATGTGGGGTCATCTAATTCCACTAGAAGGTTTAATGTTCACTAACAGATGCTGCATAGATGTGTGTGTGTGTATGTACTTCTTAATGATGATTTTCTCAATATGAATTAATTATCATGTCCAGACGTTAGCGTTGGCGTGCACCACCGAAGGTACTGGGTTTGAATCCTGTAAGTAGTCGTGGAGTCGTGGATGCGCACTGCTTCTGATAAGTCCCATACCAGGCAGGACGAAACAGCCGTCTTCTGCAATGCTTCCAGGTTTCTAATAGTGATCTGACGATGATTGATTCATGATTTCAGTGTGTAAAAACACTGATCTCCATAACACCAATTCATCAAATTTTAGTATTTTTTTTTCTCAAGTGATGTGGTAACATCACCTTATAATTACATGCATGTGTATCAAGACATAGACGGATAGATAGATCGAAGTATAAACATGCAAATAGATAAGAGACAGTTTGTCTACAAAAATTATTTTTTGGTGAGGTGAGTAGGGAACAAAAAAGGACACTTTTTTTCTATTCTCATGATTCTCAATGGATTTGTAATACTCATAAAATGAGGATAAAGATAGAGGATGGTGAGTAAAGCAGACCAGTGGAGTTCAACCCTGTTAGGTGTAGACAGTAGACTACCAAAGACAAATGGATGAGGTCGAGCAAAATCCCTAGATTGATCAGAGGTTAGACATTAACATTACTGGAGCGTTCACGCGCAAGGTCAAAGGTCCTGGTTTGGAATCCTACAAGTAGCAGAAGTAGTGGATTCGCACTACCACTGATGAGTAGTAATCCCATATTAGGATGAAACGGTTGTGTTTGATTGCTTCCATGTTTCTAATAATCGAGGTCTAACAATGATTGATTGATTGGTTGATTGATGATTTCAAATGTGTAAAAACAGGCAAAACAATATTCTAGATGGTCGAGTGGATGAACAAACGAAAAACTAACTATTGGATTTGAATTGACAATTACATCTCTGTGCTGATGTGGTATGGCGACATGAACTGATGTACTTACGTACGAAGTTCTACGTTGCAACTGACTGACTGACTGAACTAACTAACTAACTAACTAACTAATCTCTCAATAATCCATGCATCTATCAATCTTTAATTAATTTATCCTCTTAATAAGTTGTGTGTGTATTCCTAATCTACTATTTTATGGATTAGGGTTGCTATTTCAAATTACTCGAAACATTTGCTCATAAATAGAGTGAAACATAAATCTTCTATTCCTCCTCTCTCTTTCTCTCTCTATCTCCCTCTCTTCAAACTGATATTTGATCATTTAATCTCTCTTACTAGATAGTTTACAGAACGAAATAAAATTACTAAACACAATTGTTATATAATACACGATTTTTTTATGATTCAGTCAGTCGGTTACAACGTTGAACTTCGTACGTACGTACGTACGTATGTACATCAGTTGAGGTTGTCATATCGCATAAACACAAAGATACAACTATCAGTTCAAATCCAATAGTGGTAGAGATAGTAGAAGTATTTATTAGCAGTATTCGGAGAGATTACAGTTCGAAGATATGATTCGAAAAGTATAATTCAGTGAGATAATTGTAGAAAGAGAAAAATACATATGATGACGAATTCAAAAGGTTAGAATAGGAGAGAACATAAAGAGTGGATGCGCCACTGTAAACGATTTTGATCCGTATTGTTCAAAGTCTCGGTGACTTTCGTTCTAGCGGACCCCAACCAGGTAGTGTCTACAGCTACCGACATGACTCAGTCCGGTTGTTAGTGACTTCATGGATTTG